CCACGCCCGCGACCGCCGCTGCTAGTCGCCCCCGTCGCCGGCAGCCGCCCCGTCGACCTCCCGCGCGCAACGACAACGTCGTTCATGGGGAATATTCCGTTATAAGGGTTGGGTTTGAGGGTTCTAATCTTTGCCCCTGTTTTTCAACCCGTAAAAGTGCACAAAAAGATCATTTTTGGACCCTTAAAACGCTAGTGAGGGTTTGCGGGTTTGAGGGTTCTACTAGTAATGCTCTTACCTCTTTCTTCAGCATGAGCTTCTTGCTGAGGACATTCCTTGACTGGAAGGTCACATTTGAAGCCATTGCACTCAGAAATCCAGCCCTGTTGTCATTTAAATTGCAAATTAATCACCAAAATGCACAATAATTTATGAGCAACAAATTATTTGGAGTCTAAGGAGGAAAATTTCAATGCAAAAAGGAATACACACACATGCGCATAAATACACACGTCAGACATTAGGCGACCACATATGAAATTCAATAGACATGCCACAACTGTAATGCGCATCCTAACAATACAGTTCTTTCATTCAAATGAAGATGCTAATATTGCTTACCAGTTAAAAGAAGCTTCAGAAATAGATGCCAATGCCACACCACCAACAATAGGAAGAAGAGACAAAACAACCCATGGAGTAGGCAGCTGCATGGCCATTCATGTGTCAGAACAGGACCAAGAAATTTCTTACATTATGCATATTTGCAATTTTTCATGGAATATTTAACAGAGGAAAGAGAAGCAGACATTACCTCGCCAAGGAACATTGCAGAAAGTAGAACTGAGAAGAAAGGCTCCATGGCCTTGATTGTATGTGTAAATGACACTGCAACCTTCCCAAGGCTCATGTTGGTGAAAAGATTGCCCATGGTATGGACAATAGCCAGAGGGAGGATAGCAAGAAGCTGGGAAATAAGAGCCATTAGAATACATCTTCTAATGGTGCAATATATGTGTACTGAAAGTCTGTCACATGAAACTAGATAATTACCTGTGCACTGGAAATCTTTGGTCTTTTAAGGATACCCGTGGCCCACATAAATAAGGAAATCGTAGTTCCAACAGCAAATTGAACTGTTGTGATGTTTATGGGATAAGGAAAAACCTTGAGGACCTGTCAAAAATATGAACAGCGGAGCAAGTTGCATTATCCACAGGTAAATGATGCAATCGTCTAGAAATTTCTTAGGAAAATAAATCAAAGGGTGACAACATCTGCGCCAACTCTCTCTGTAGCTTAATCATTAACTAAACGTTTGCCGCAGAATTCTCTATTTACACACGCACCAGAAAACAGAAGGGCATGGTACCCATTCAAATCTGTAATAACAGAGGCACGGATATTGGACAAAGAAATGAATACATATGTCCGTAGGATTAAAGCCATAGTGCACATCACATCGGTACAGTGCATTATGAAAGACCCTGAGTGAAGTTGACAGCAAATGCTTGTTCTCACATGCAGCAGACAGGAAGAACCCTTACTTGATTGGAATTATTACTAACAGTAATCCTAGGCTTTGGAATGCGGCGGTACAAATTTTATACACTTAAGCAAATCGCTCAGGAAAGTGCTACAGGTTCAATATCTTCAACTGTCTAAACTAAGTTTTTGGAATAAAAACAAATAGTGTTGACAAAAAAATTATAAAGTAAGAGGCAAAATGGTACGGTATTTCAACAACCCAGCGAAAAATCATGAGCTTAGACATTCATCAAAAAACTCCAGCAAATATCACTTCGACATACAGATGAACCATATAGGTCAGCTTTCTCTTCACACAAGCAGACAGGAAGCACCCTGATTTTGATATGAATTATCTACTTCTACTGATCCTGGGTTATGAACCATAAAGGTCAGCTTTCTCTTCACACAAGCAGACAGGAAGCACCCTGATTTGATAGGAATTATTTGCTTCTACTGATCCTGGGTTTTGGTAATAATGCATTTGTGCCAAAAGTTTGATCAGAAAAGGCAGTTCAAGTTCAATATGTTCTTCGTCTGCCGTAGGTTTTATGTAAATCAATGATGTTCACGAAAACAAATCACAAAATATGAGGCAAAATGGAATTCTCGACAAGTTCAGTTCAGTTAGATTTCACTGAATCTAAGGACGATTCACCAAAAGATCACTCCGTCATCCGTACAAGGAACTTCCATGCAATGTCGCTCGGGATGATCCGAGGTGGAGAGATGCGGATTACTTGGAGAGATCTGTCTCTACGAGACTATGAAACGCGCCAAAACAACCGAAACAGCACGTCGATTCGCACCCAGTAACCGATTTCCAGGCCAATTGACCAGATCGAACTAGAAGGCGCGCTCGCTAAACTACGAAGGACTACAAGATACAGTATAACCTTGCACGCAACAGAACGGAAAAGCAAGCAAAGGGCGTGGCAGCTCACCTGCTTGTTGTAGATGTTGAAGTAGATGTTGAAGAGGTACCAGAGCCCGAAGAAGACGCCGAGCTGGAGCGTCTTGGCGAGCGCCGTTCCGCCCTCCTCCCCGGCCTCCTCGCCGGCCGACGCCTTCCCCGCGGCCGCGGCGGCCACGAGGCAGTCGCTCCTCTTCTCCTGCTCAGGCGACGCCGGCACGAGCCCGATGCGGCCGAGCCCGGCCGCAGCCACGAGGCCCGCGCGGGGCGCAGCGGCGGAGAGGCGGAGGGCCGCGCGGGAGGCCGGGAGGCGGGCGGCCCCGGGGCTAGGGCTCTTGAGGATGGGCCGCGCGGCGCATGGCCGGAGGAGCCCGATGGCCGCCGCGCTCTGCATTGCGGCGGGGGCGGAGTGTTCCGGGCAGACGGGGGGCGCCTCTGGAGCCTCGGCCGCGCGGGGGTGGCGGGCGGAGGCCTCGAGGCCGAGGCTGCGGCTGCGGCGGCGGCGGCGGAGGGCACGAGGAGGAAGGCGGGGTGGTGCGGTCTGGTGAGATGAGAGAGAGTGGGTTGGTGGGCGAAGGGTTTTAAGGAGCGGCGGCCCGAGGCCGGGCTGAGCTGGCACCGGCGGGGAGGAGCGTCTGCAAGAGTGACAGGTGGGCCCGAGCAATTGACCTGGCATTGGCCAGCCGCTGGGTGGAGCCGGTGCACGGTGCGCCGGGGCGGACGGCCGTGGGGCGAGGGTGCGCGGGGCCCGGGCGCGGGTGAGCCGCCGCGCGATGCGGTGGAGGGGTTGTTGGGTGGAACCTGCCCAGCGAGGGCGCCGAGGGGCGGGTGGGTCCCGGTCGCGGGAAAAACCTGGGCTGGTGGGCCCACAGTAGGCGGGGCGGGATCTGCGAGAGCGAGACCGCCGCGCCAGCTCACCGCGCGTCTTCTTCTGGGTCCTGGGGCGGACGGACTGCCAGTTGCTCCGGACCTCAGCTTTGGGGAGTACAGGTTTTATTTTTTAACTTCGTGAAAAACAAACACCATTTCGTGGCTCATTCGGTTCACAGAATTTTCAAATCAAAGGAATGGACAATGTAAGGAATTGGGGATGTCCTCTCCGTCCCAATTCCTCGGAATTTTTCATGTGGTCACGCCTAATGCTAGGAATCTTTGGCCAGTATCCGGAGAAAATGCTGAGGAATTTATTAGTACCTCCATTCCTATCAAAAGACAAACATGCGCCTTGAGATTCGCGTTCTGAATCCAGCGGCCAGGAGGGGGCGGGGGGCGAATCCCCCCGGCTGACGGTTGCCAGCTACGTAACATTTTTCGTATTTTTATGTGATAGTACATTTTTCATATCGGGAAGATAAACATGTGTGTGTTTCCCTGGGATGATAAACAAAAGTGGAACCTGATTGTTTCTCACTCCCCAATTTCTGTCAAATGCAATTCGAAGTTAGTGTCTTCAAATGTCAAAGATTGTACAAAAGAATTTTTGAAGCATGACTGTTGGATCAGATTACTGCATAGCAAAGCACACTTTTATTAAAATATACTTCCTCCATCCCTAATGTAGAAAACACTCTTATATTATGGGGCGGAGGGAGTAGATTTTTAGTGTGTGTCATTCATAACAGCAATTGATTGTTGTGTACTCCATAGCAGCAGTTGATTTGTTGTGCCTCATGTGTTTGGATTTTAAATAATTGAATTTGTGAACTTTAAATTTATGATATTCATGAATTGTGTGAACCTTCATTATCAAGTTTAGATTTAGGGCATGTTTGGTTTGCTCGCGAGAAAGTTGCCGGAGTCAGGCAGTATCGAGTCAGGCTCAGTATGTGTGCAAATATGTAGTTGAAATTTAATACTTAAACTAAAACTTAGAAGAATTGGCAAAGAAAATATTTTAGCGAGTTAAACATTTAGGAGTTCGACTAGGAACCTTTTTTTATTAACTCCTTAAATGTAAGGAGTTTTAAGGAGTCAAGGTTTGAGAAGCCGTTTGAGGGGGCTAAATTTTAGGGGATGGCCAGAGATGCTATAAGCGATGCAAACAAACATCGGATGTCCAGTTCAAGCCTAGAGACTATACAAAAGGACATAATCGTACATGCCAAAACATCCAGATTCCTAATGCAATTCTCAGACTTTAAGTTCAAAACATTTGCTCATATACTAGCTAACAGGAAAAAAAATGGTGCCTTGAGTGGTGGCCACTGTTTTATTCTTTCCGCCGACGATACTCCCGAGTCGATGCAGAGCTTGGTGAACTTGCTGCATGGGAAACCGGCCATGGTTGCATTGGAGGTCACGGGAAGTCTGCAAGCCAACCTGCAGTGCAGGGGAAGGGTCAGTTTTCAGAGTGAAGTATGATTGCCGTACATGGAAACGGAATGAAAGAATTAGCCACTCAAGTAAAGGCATAGGGATGCAGCTAGCTGTCCCTGGCATTTGCTAGTGCAGTTGATCCACGGTTATGGCAGAGAATTTTTTTGATAAATAACAAAGAAAAGAGCATGTCGGAAATTTTGGTGGAGTGCAGAAGCCATAATAAGAAGCATCAAGACAAGAAATTTATGTTTGCACGAGCGAGGGAACCTGGCTTATATACATGGCGGTGACGGTTGCCTCTCTATATGACTGTCCCGCTAGGAATTAAGGCGTCCTTGATCACCGTGACAATGCCGCTTTTGATGAAGTATCCATCACTCTCCCTTGAAGCTTCTTGGATATCATCAACATTGATTATCTGTAAAAGCAGCATACCATTTATGATCAGACATTACTTACCACAACAAACATGGCATAATATTCTTTTCTCAGTACTCCCTCCGATCCGTATTACTTCTCGCTCACTTAGTACAACTTTGTACATGTTTTACTAAGTGAGCGACAAGTAATATGGATTGGAGGGAGTAGTAAAGTAAAGAGTTTTTTAAGCAAGCATACGGTTTGCCTGAGAAATATTGCCGCAGAATAATGCATTAGTATTTGGTAACATAAAGAGGATTGAAATCAGTGCTTCAGGGTACATTCTTGCAAACATCCTATCATTAACAAGAAGATGATAATGACCAAGAAAAATCTATGAGTCTATTTATGTTCAGATGGAGCCTCCTCTTGTTTTCACCCCAGAGTAACGAGTAGTTGAACAGAGCGTACATGAATACGGGTTGACTGGCAGGAGGTAGAGATGTATATGAAGTACCTTCACATTTTCTCCGATTCGAGCATTTTTGTCGATTATTGCTTTTCTGATGTGTGCATTTTTTCCAATACCGATGGGAATGCCGCCACTTTCAGAAAGGACTTTCTTGTCATTTTCCGTCTGCACAAAAAAAATTCACTAAGTTCTCACAACGCTTTCATGGCGCTATTAGCACAGTTCTGTTTGATTATATTTCACCTCATAATAGTCTGCACCCATTAGCAGGGAATCCTCTATTACTGCGCCTTCCGATATGCACGAGCGTAGTCCAACAACAGAATGGTTGATTGTACAATGCTAGCCAAAAGGAGGAAAATAAATACAAGATAGTGAATTTTAGAAAGCTCATGTACCGAAGCATGAGAAACTAGACTTGAGGGAGGACAAGATATCCGATGGATAACATATCAGGTATTAAGGTCCTAAACATGTCGTGACCTAGAGTCTCAAGGGAAAAAGCAGCTTACATTAATGACGCAACCTTCACCGATAACACTGTCTGTCACATCAGCGTTAAGAACCTTCGAAGGAGGCAAGTATCGAGATTGTGTATAAATTGGGGCAGAACGGTCATAGAAACTGCAAACAAGTTTTTACCAGAAGTGAGTAATAGGTAGTGAATCGAGCAAAATGCCCCTCCTAACTTTTTTCAACTGTAGAATATCTACCTAAAATCTGGTACTGGCTTCTTGGTTATTCCCAAGTTTGCATTGTAAAATGCCTCAATAGTCCCAATATCTTCCCAGTAACCATCATATAGGTAAGCTTGCACCTGTCACAGAAATAGCAGCCTAAGCAAACAAAATATACGGAATATGAACACTGGAAACAAATTGAAGTAACTACAAAGTCGATAAGTAAGTTCTCTAAAAAGATCATGAAATCTAAATTCTTGATGGACAAATATTTAACTTCATAAACCAATGCTTTCACTTTTACTACAAAATATGAAGGAGTTTCACCTTGTTTCAGAAGATAAAAGTTACAGCAGTGAAAATAATAAGAATAACATGCACTACAAGCTTCAAGAGCATAGCGTACCCTCATTCCAATTTCTGTTGCACCAGGAATAACCTCACTTCCAAAGTCATTTGCTGAAGGAAAATTGTCACGAAGAAGCTGAAGCATCGCATCTTTGCTAAAAACATAGATTCCCATGCTAGCAATATAAGGTAATTCCTTGGCCCTCTCAGAATCAAGGCCCAGTATGGTGGTGTCAACCTGCAAGATTACGGCATGTCAACTGAAAAAACTAACTGCACAAGCATATATACTTTCGGCTCCTTAAGGCGTATCTATGTTTTAAATTAGATACAGAATATGCTACTTAGCTGCATACCATCATTGCCTTCAACTTCTCTCCTTTTGGTTTTTCTGAAAACTCAACAATTCTCCCTTCATCGTCAATTTTCATCAGGCCAAATGCAGTTGCGCGCTCCTCATCCATTGGCAGGGCAGCCACAGTAATATCAGCATCTGTTTCTCTGTGTGCTTGAATGAATTTTTGGTAGTCCATACGGTACAGGTGATCTCCAGCCAGAATAAGGAACTCCATAACATTATGTTCCTCAAACAGCCATAAGTACTGCCGCACGGCATCTGCGGTACCCTGATTTGGGAAAAGGCAAGAGAATAAAAACTCGATGGTTCAAGACTATATTAATATAAAAAGAACATAACATGTCAGGCCTCAGGGGATAACATAAGGGTGTTTGCAGCATCTATTGTTATGCATCATTGTGAACTTGATTTTTTTTATTCCAAGGAAACTGCAGGACCCTCCAAGTTCATGAACGCTCCTAAACGATTTGTCTGAATGTTTCTAAAAGATAAATTCAACTTATTAAATGTTAACTGTCCCCTGGGACAGAAGTACAACAGGGTGTAAACTGTGAATAATGCATGAATTTCTTTTCATTAACTGATATGTTTTTTTGCGGGGTCATTAACTGATATGTTGATATAAAAAAAATCTCCCCTGCTCTTCTTCTACTCTATGCAATTTAACAACATACCACAATTTATTCTTATGCATTTTTGCAACTAAATTTACTTCTTATTTGAAGTTTAAAATTCTTGACCTGCTTGGTAGAAAATTTGAGCCCTTACATGAACACATAGTAATAGTTCGAGATTGATACTCTAGATGGAAGATGAATCAACCAAGGTACCTGAAACCAGTTAGGATTCTCCGGGCTCTGCTGCGCAGCGAGAACTTCGACAAAGCCATCATTCTTGTATCCACCAATGTTGTTCCCGTAGGCCCTCGAGAGGTGGCGGTTGAGCGACGCAGAGTTGAACTGCGTCAGCACATAGATCTTGGACACATTGCTGTTGAGGCAGTTGCTGACCGGGATATCAATGAGCCTGTAGTTAGCACCCAGCGGCACCGCAGGCTTGGCCCTCTTCTTGGTCAGTGGGTACAGCCTTGTCCCGGCGCCACCACCGAGGATAATCCCAAGAACACTCTGCGGCGATGGATGGATCACATCAGTTGAATGTGATGCGAAAAAATTATGTCAAAACATTCCAAATATTAACCGGATGAACTGCTGTCTCAGGTTTATGTACTTCTATCACATACTTTGCAAATGGTTAGCAGTACAGTCTTCAGGACTTGAGCCAATTGATAATAAACGTTTTTAATTGAAGGCATGGAGTAAATTATTCTACGCCTTCCCCCCATTTCATGGATCATCGTGAAATCAACGGAAAGGCGCGAGAAAACGAACCCCATCTGCTCATCCAAACGCGCCAAGTATGGAGTAGTAGATAAAATAAGGGAGCCGCATCGAAACCCCAACTCTGAGTCTGCGCGCACACGAACCTTTTCCCGCGTAATAATCACGAAAGGGACGGCTAAAAGTCGCATAATAAAGTGCGGAGGAAGGTAAATGTCAAAAAAGAAAAATTGTGGAGGAAGGTGATCGGCGGGATGCGCATTACCGTGCTGGCGTCCGGATCGAGGCACGTCTGGGAGTTGCGCGAGTCTGAGACGGCCCGGGGCGAGAACAGGGGCCGCGGCCTCGCCGTCACCGCCCGCACACGCCGCCCGCCGGCCGCGCGGCGAGGAGAGAATGCGGCGGGTGCCGGCGCCGTGATCGGTGGCCCGTACGTGGCGGCCGTCGTGCCCATCGCCGTCGCCATCGCCATCGGGGGCAGAGTGTGACGGGTCGAGGCGGTGGCAGCGACGGCCGAGAGAGGGCGAGGGAGTGAGGTGGGGCTGGCGGCAGGACAGGTACTCCCTTTCAGCGGCTGCGAGAGTTTTCAGCTTCGTTTTTCCGCTTTGTTCCCGTGTCTGTGTGTGCAGCTCAGGGCATGGCTTGTTCTGCATTTATGGTTGTGTTGTCCATGTGCCGTGATGGCGTGTGCGGGCGAGATGAAGCTCGGACCAACGGCTCTGCTTGCGCACGCGTGTCCATATTTCACGTTTTCTTTTTGACAGGAATATTCTGCAGTGAGCATCTCTCTCAGGGCAACTCTGTTTTTTTTTTAGGTTCAGGCCAACTCTGATGTTCACAGGGTATGTGCTTACAACCCCTAGAATCGAAATTAGCATTGGGAAACAAAAAATCGTTATTTTTTTTCTCAATGTGCAAAAGGTATGCGGGGGCCGGTGGCGAGGGCGGCACTGAACCGCGTTGAAGAGTGACCGCTCGAGTTGTTAGGCGTACTCCTCTGTCCGCGCGGCCGTTGCTGCTCCTCATTGTCGTCAGAGATGACCACCTCCTTGACCGTGGGCCCGGGCGAAGTGGAGGACGTCGACGCCCCGGAGAGCATGGGCAACGGCGCCACGATCCGGACGACCCCGGGGATCCACCTGCCGACGCTGAGAACCAGTTGAATCTGTTGTCGGTCTTGCCCATCTTTTCGGTGTGTGGACAAGAGGAGAGGAGGGGCGAGAAGAGAAGAGACTGTGGTGCGTGTAGCGAAGATGGGGTTTGCTGGCGAGGCCATCCTGCTTAAATAGCCGGGCCAGGTGCACCAGCGCTGCTTCAATGTGGGCGCAGTGGGCAGAGTAGGCTTCTCAGTCACCACATTTGCATTGAAAAAGCGTTAATCAGTCGTCTGGTCACAACGGTATGACCGGCATGAATGCATGTAGGCAGTCGTCGAGTCGTGTCCTCCCTAAGCAGCGACAAATGTGCGCGAGGCCTTTGGAGCGGAACGCGAATTGAGGGTTTTGGGTTGGACCGCATTGTTAGAGTCCTACGTTGCAGACGCCCGGACTCCCTCAACCCCCTAGATGTTTGCAAATTCGGATGTGTGGATTGGTCCGCGGATGTTTATTGCATAGCGTTGGATGGCACAAAGTGTGTGAACCCCGTTGTCCGGACGTTTAGCAATGTTTCGAGGTACTGCATTGGAGATGCCTTAATGATGGAGGCGATTTCTAAGAATCGGCTTTTCGTGCAAATCCTTGATCCCAAACAAGGCAAACTCATGGGTATATACAATGAACCACTATGCATGTTGTGTTGGAAATATGCCCTAGAGGCAATAATAAATTGATTATTATCATATTTCCCATTCATGATAAATGTTTATTACTCATGCTAGAATTGTATTGACCGGAAACTTAAATACATGTGTGAATACATAAAGTACACCGTGTCCCTAGTATGCGTCTACTAGACTAGCTCATTGATCAAAGATGGTTAGGGTTTCCTAACCATAGACATGAGTTATCATTTGATAATGGGATCACATCATTAGGAGAATGATGCGATGGATTAGACCCAACCGTAAGCTTAGCATCATATTGTTTAAGTTATTTGCTATAGCTTTCTTCATGTCAAGTATCCGTTCCTTCGACCATGAGATCATGCAACTTCCGGATACCGGAGAAATACCTTGTGTGCTATCAAACGTCACTTCGTAACTATGTGACCATAAAGATGCTCTACAGGTATTTCCGAAGGTGTCTGTTGGGTTGGCATGGATCAAGACTGGGATTTGTCACTTTGTGTGATGGAGAGATATCTCTAGGCCCTCTCGGTAACACAACATCGTAAAGAGCTTGCAAGCAATGTGCCTAATGAGTTAGTCACGGGACCTTGTGTTACGGAACGAGTAAAGAGACTTACCGGTAACGAGATTGAACTAGGTATGGAGATATCGACGATCGAATCTCGGGCAAGTAACATATCACCGGACAAAGGGAATTGCATATGGGGTTGACTGAATCCTTGACATCGTGGTTCAACCGATAAAGATCTTCGTGGGATATGTAGGAACCAATATGGGCATCTAGGTACCGCTATTGGTTATTGATCGGAGAGGTGTCTCAATCATGTCTACATGATTCTCGAACCCGTAGGGTCCGCACGCTTAACGTTTGATGACGCTAGAGTAGTATTGGGATGTGTGCATTGTAACTGAATGTTGTTCGGAGTCCTGAATGAGATCCCCGACATCACGAGGAGCTTCGAAATGGTCCAGAGGTAAAGATTCATATATAGGAAGTCCTGTTTTTGTTGACGAAAGGGTTCGGGGGTCCACCTGCCCCGGGGGTTCACCTGCCCCGGGGGCCCACATGGGTTGTAGGGGGTGCGCCATGGCCTACATGGGCCAGGGGCACTGCTACTTCTTGAGCTTGCGTTGGTATTTTTCTTGAAGAGGAAAGGGTGATGCAGCAAAGTAGAGATAAGTATTTCCCTCAGTTAGAGAACCAATGTATCAATCCAGTAGGAGACAACGCACAAATCACCAATACCTGCACAAACAATCAAACAACTTGCACCCAACGCAATAAAGGGGTTGCCAATCCCTTCACGGTCACTTGCAAAAGTGAGATCTGATAGAGATAGATGAAACTAAACAAAATATAAAGTAAATATTTTTGGGGTTTTTTAGTTTATAGACCGAAAAGTAAAAGATTGCAAAATAGTAGATCGGAAACTTATATGATGGAAAATAGACCCGGGGGGCATAGGTTTCACTAGAGGCTTCTCTCAAGATAGCAAATAACACGGTGGGTGAACAAATTACTGTCGAGCAATTGATAGAAAAGCACAAAATTATGGCGATATCTAAGGCAATGATTATGAAAATATAGGCATCACATCCATGTCAACTAGACCGAAACGATTCTGCATCTACTACTATTACTCCACACATCGACGGACTAATGCCTGCATCTAGAGTATCAAGTTCATGAAGAACGGAGTAACACATTAAGTAAGATGCCATGATGTAGAGGAATAAACTCAAGCAACATTAGATGTAAACCCCATCTTTTTATCCTCGATGGCAACAATACAATACGTGCCTTGCCGCCTGATAATCCCCAAGTGCAAGGAATCATCGTAGCAATTTCCAAAGGTGGAAGTGATAAGTATGGAGTGTCGAACCCACAAGATGCTAACGGTAATATCAATATTCTCTCAAGTCCTATCTGGCAGTGATACAATGACTCTACGTACACTGAACGTTTGCTTCCATCTAGAAATGAGAAATAAAACTACGTTGTGGGTATGAAGAGGTTAACTTTGCATGATATCGGAGAACTAAAATATAAAAGTAGATGATGTTAACTATAAGTTAGAATATATTACTATGTATTATAAATAATGAGTGTGGAATAATGCTGGATCGGTGTGCGGAATTATCCAAGGCAATTGTTAACAAGATCCATAGTCAAAAAAATTGTTAACAAGATCGGTGGTCGTCATTGCAATTTTATATGAGGGAGAGGCATAAGCTAACATACTTTCTCTTCTTGGATCATATGCACTTATGATTTGAACTCTAGCAAGCATCCGCAACTACTAAAGATCATGAAGGTAAAACCCAACCATGGCATTAAAGCATCAAGTCCCCTTTATCCCATACGCAACAACCCCCTTACTCGAGTTTAACCTTCTGACACTCTAGCAACCCACTATAAGCGAATCATGAATGTATTCCAACACCCTACAACGGGAATCCTTCACGTGTGCGTGGCATGGAAGGCACCATAGGACAACACCAAAATAAAACATACAACTCATACCAATCTAGATCATCAATCAACCCAAAGACAAAAGAAATCTACTCAAAACATCATAGGATGGCAACACATCATTGGATCATAATATGTGGCATAAAGCACCATGTTCAAGTAGGGGATTACGGCGGGGTGCGGGAGAGTGGACCGCGTAAAAGAGATGAGGATGGTGATGTTGATGAAGATGATCACCGCGGCGATGGTTCCCACGATGGCACTCCTGTGCCACCAAGAGAGACGGGGAGAGGTTCTCCCCCTTGTGCTTCCTTCTCCATGCCCCCTAGATGGGGAGAGGTTCTCCCTCTGGTTCTTGGCCTCCAAGGCGACGATGGCCCCCTCCGGGATCCTCCTCATGGCCTCCGGTGATGATGGCCCCCTCCGGCACGGTGCCAGAGAGGGCCTAGATTGGTTTTTCGTGGCTACAGAGGCTTACGATAGTGGAACTCCTGATCTCTCTTCTGTTCTGGGGTTTTTAGGATTTATAGGAAGGGTTAGCGTCGGTTTCACGTCAGGGGGCCCCACGGGGTGATCACAAGGTCGAGGGGCGCGCCCTAGTGGGGCGCCCCCACCATTGTGGTGGCCCCGGGACTCCTCTTCCGAATATTTTTCTTCTAGTATTTTTCATATTTTCCATAAAAATTATCCATTAATTTTCAACCCGTTCCGAGGACTTTTATTTCTGCACAAAAATAACACCACGGTAATTCTGCTGAAAACAGCATCAGTCCGGGTTAGTTCTAATAAAATCATATGAAATTGTTGTAAACATGGTATGAATACTTCATAAATTATAGATACGTCAGAGACATGTCAACATCCCCAAGCTTAATTTCTACTCGTCCTCGAGTAGGTAAATGATAAAAGAAATAATTTATGAAGTGTGAATGCCATCAAGTGCACGAGTTTGATCAATGAAAGTTCCAAGCACTTTTTCTAGCATTATTCTTTATCATAAACAGTAGCTCATATTCATAAAACTTCTCATGATCAGGTAACAAGCTATCCATAAATTAAAGTATATACCATAAACTTTCTTGAAAACTAACAAACCATGTTCTTAGTCATCAAACAATTCCAATTCATCTTATTTTCAGGAAGGGTCTATGTAAGAGCTTTGATTTAGCAAATCCCACATACATATAGTCTTCCACAATTGCTAACACTCACGCAAAATTTATGGGTACAAAGTTTCAATCGGACACAGAGAAAGATAGGGGCTTATAGTTTCGCCTCCCAACCTTTTACCTCAAGGGTAATGTCAACAATAATACTTTATGAAAACCTACATCCAAGTAGATATATATATATCTGGATTTCTCCAACACATAGTGCTTGCCAAAGGAAAAGTGTAAAAAGGAAAGGTGATGATCACCATGACTCTTGTATAGGGGTAGAAGATAAAAGTAAAAGATAGGCCCTTCATAGAAGGAAGCAGAGGTTGTCATGCGCTTTTATGGTTGGATGCACAAGCACAATAATAATTTATGAAGTGTAAATGATAAAAGATAGGCTCTTGTAAAAGGACCTTGACGGTGAAGGAAATATGCCCTAGAGGCAATAATAAAAGTTATTATTTATTTCCTTATATCATGATAAATGTTTATTATTCATGCTAGAATTGTATTAACCGGAAACATAATACATGTGTGAATACATAGACAAACAGAGTGTCACTAGTATGCCTCTACTTGATTAGCTCGTTAATCAAAGATGGTTATGTTTCCTAGCCATAGACATGAGTTGTCATTTGATTAACGGGATCACATCATTAGGAGAATGATGTGATTGACTTGACCCATTCCGTTAGCTTAGCACTTGATCGTTTAGTTTGGTGCTATTGCTTTCTTCATAACTTATACATGTTCCTATGACTATGAGATTATGCAACTCCCATTTACCGGAGGAACACTTTGTGTGCTACCAAACGTCACAACGTAACTGGGTGATTATAAAGGTGCTCTACAGGTGT